CAGTCTGCATCACCAGGTTCAATATTCCCAGTACCACTGCCCCGGTTTGTGGCCCAAGTCCCAGTGTCCCCAGTTCCCCCAGTACACATCTCCAATCCCAGTTTTTCCAGTCCTAATGCCCCTGGTCACCCAGTACACATCTCCAGTCCCAGTGTCCCCAGTACCCCCCCCACTTTGTGTCCCCACTCCCAATTTTTCCAGTTCCAGTTTTCCCAGTTCCCCCAGTATACATCCCCAGTCCCAGTTTCCTTCAGCCCTATTCTCCCAGTGCCCACAGTTTGCATTCCCAGTCCCAGTGTCCCCAGTCCCTCCAGTACACATCTCCAGTCCCAGCATCCCCAGTTTGTATCCCCAGACCCTCCAGTACACATCTCCAGTCCCAGTATCCCCAGTGCCCCCAGTTCGCATCCCCAGTCCCAGTGTCCCCAGTCCCCCTAGTGCACATTTCCAGTCCCAGTGTCCCCAGCGCTCCCTGTCTTTCTAGTCCCAGTGTCCCCAGTCCCAGTGCTCCCAGTGCCCCCAGTTTGTGTCCCCAGTCCCAGTTTTCCCAGTCCCAGTGTCCCCAGTCCCCCCAAGTACATATCTCTAGTCCCAATGCCCCCCACCATCCCCGTGTCCCCACCTCCCCGCTCCCAGTGCTCCCAGTACCCCCCCAGTCCCTCCCAGTGCTCACGGGTTGGTGCTGCCCAGCAGGAAGAAGGCGCTGCCCTCAGGGATCGGTGCCACTTTGTTCTTGGGGGGCTCCTCCAGGCTCTCCAGCCGTTGCCTCCCCAGGCTGTCCCGCTCCCCCCCGGCCCCTTCATCACCTGTGGGGAACCACCAGTGCGTGGGGGGGGTCCTTCTGCCCCCTCCAAAGGGAGGGGGGGTCCTTCTGCCCCTTCTTCCCCCTCTTTTCCCCCCCTCCAGGGATTTTGACGTGGGGCTGACCTTCCTCGCTGCCCTCCTCCTCCTCTTCCTCCTCCTCCTCCTCCTCCTCCTGCTGCTGCTCCCCTTCGACCTGGAGGAGTGTGCAAGGCCGTGCACATGCGTGTGAGGTCATGGGTTGGGTCATGAGAGGGCTGTGCATACATGTGTTGGGGGGGTGCAAGCGTGTGCGAGATGCACACGCAC